AAGGCAAGAGAAAGGCCACAATGTGTGTGGGTTGGGTACTCAGATTAAAAGTAGGTACACATTCCGCAGACAGAATGCGGGCTGTCTCTGAAGAGGGAGAGAGAGAGGGGCGGCCAGAGATGGTAATTCTTTAGGAGTCTTTGCTTTGTGTTGGATTTAGGCCAACACCAAGCTTCATACTGCCCTCCCAGTGATGATTCAGAAGACCAGTTGACACTTACCTGTGTCTGTCATCAATACAACATAAGAAAATGAGTTATTTATGATTTAATACGTGTACCTTGCTTATGCACAAAATGTTTCAAAACATTAGTTGGAGGAAGGGTGTAATAAAAGGATCTCATAGTGAATGATTGGAAGCAGGAGTTTAGAGGACCATGGGGTGCTCATCCTTCTACACCTCCCCCCCTTGCCGCTGCCCCACCCCACTCCAATCGCCCAGTAGGCCTGAGACTATTGAGAGTAGCCTGTTGGTTAAGAGCATCAACATTGAAACCCACCTGCCCAAATCTGTATCCTACTCTGCTCACTAAAGGACCTTGGGCAAGTTATATAACCTATTTCCTCATATGGAAAGTGTGGGTAGTGGTAGGAATTACCTCATTGGGCTATTGTGAGGATTGAGTGTGTTCATCTGTGTGTGACACGCATAGAACATTGCCCGGCACACACTAAGCGCTGTGTTTGTGTTGGCTACTAGCTATTGCTATTATTATTCTTGTCTCTTTGCCCCCGGCCCCCTCAGGCCTGGGAGCCTGGCAACACCCAACCTCGTAGCCTTGTCCCCACCTGATGCAGGAGGAGTCCAGCACAGGCACCTAGATCACCATCACAGACAGAAAATTTGAAGGCCCTCTGCGACGTATCTGAGGAAACTGAGTCCCAGAGAGGAGCAGGGACTTGCCTAAGGTTACCCAATCAGGGCAGAACCTAGGCTAGAATCTAGATGTCCCAGGGCTCTGGGGTATGGCTTGGGCATGACAAGACTCCTTCCAGGAGAAGCTTTGTAGGGGAGCTTTGTGACCAACGATGTGTTCATTTCCACACCAACAGTGCAAATGTGTTGACAGTGTTAAACACCCTGGCTGCTGCCAATTGGTTAAAGGTGATCTGGCTGGCTGGGCAGCTTCACCCACCATGGTGGGAGCCAAGGTGAAGCCTTTGGGGCTGAGGCCTCTCAGCAAACACTATCCTGTTGGGGCCTCACAGTCAAGGGCCCCAGGGTGCCTGCTGTTGACTGAAATAAACGCGCAGCCTAAAATTTAAGAGGTGCAGGGAAAAAGGATGTGGGGCATGAGAAAGGCTGTGCCCCAGGCTTCAGTTGAACCTCTGGGACATGCCCTGCCAAGTGTGGGTCCTTGGTTTTGTGGAGGAAAGAATTCAAGAGTGAGCCACGGTTGAGTAAAGGTAGATTTATTCAGAGAGATACATTGAAAGGCAAGAGAAAGGCCACAAAGTGTGGGGTTGGGCACTCAGATTAAAAGTAGGTACACAGTTTGTTGCCAGTTTTTATGGGCTTGGTAGATTCATATGCTAGTTAAGTGGAAGGACCAGCCTAACTAGCCTGGAGAAGGGGCTGGGATTCCCAGGAAGTTGGCCGCTTCCCACTCTTTGACCTTTTGTGTCTAGCCTTGGGACCGCCATGGTGCCTGTGGGCCTGTTATTCACCATGCTAATATATTACAGTGGGCGTATAATGAAGCTCAAGTTCTGCTAGAAGTCAAATCTCCCACCATCTTGAGCCTCAAGGCCTCCTGGGGGTTGAATCCTCCACCATTTTTATATTAATTGCTGTAGCATTCCTTGAATGGCTGTGCCCTGTCCCCTTCCTGTCTCAATCTGGCATGCGTTCCTGCTAGACCTTGAAGTGAGGATATTTCTACCGCCACCCATGACCCACATCAACCCCTGGTGCCAACTCCAGTCATTGACCTCACTGCTCTGTCCTCACCCGGAAAGCAGGAGGAGAAGAGGAACAACGCTTATCCTCTTCAGGACAGGGGAAGCCTCTGCATTCCTTTCTGGGATTCACTGGTGTGGGTGGTTAATACAGCATGAGCTTCCAAAGCCCCCTGGGAGCCCTGAAACTGCGACAGAGCATCTGGGTGCATTGATCAGGGGTGAGGTTCTCCAAGGGGCTCAAAACCCAGGGGTAGCTCAAGGCCAGCACCCCAGAGCTGGATTGTCAGGGTGCCCTGAGGTGGCAGTGGACAAGAATTGCTGGGGAAGGAAGCCTTTAAGAAGCTGGAAATTTGGAAGAGCAGAGTTCTCGTGAGGTTGGTGTGCTGGTATTGACACTCCTGCTTAGTGTAGCAATCAGAGGGTTGTCTGCCATGTGGGTGGAGGGCCTTGGAACCATCCCTGCCCCATCCCGCCACTGTGCTCTGCCCCATCCCGCCACTGTGCCCTGCCCCTTGGCCTTCAAATCAGGACTTAAATTTCCCCCTAATGCCCAGTGGGGCTGCCTCCATTTTTTTCACCTCATCCAAGCCTCACTCACCCCAGAGGCAGTTACAAGTGATAACTCAGGTGGGGAGGGGACCCTAGGGTGAGGGGATGGGAAGGCACAGTAGCACAGTGGTTGGGAGTGGTGTTTCCAGAGAGCAGGGCCCAGGTTTTAGAGGATGCAGGTGAATCTCTGGAATGAGGAAGAAGTAGAAGGGTTATTAGAGGACAAAAGGCCAACGCACAGGGATAGTTACCATGGATGAGGGCTTTCCAGAGGCAACAGGAGATGGAGCAGTGGGCTGAGTTTTACGGTGCAAATAATGGTTAGATCTAGCTTACGTGGTGTCCTGGTTGCAGAGCAAGTCGTGGAAGCCTGGGTTTCAAATGCCGTCTCTGCCCCTGGCTGGCCTTGTGACACTGAGCTCTTCTAAAGGTCCTCTGGGCATCTGTCACCACACCTGCAAAATAGGACTATTACTAAAACCCACAGTAGGCTGTTGGCGGAGAGTCAAGGCACATAAATGCTTGGCAGTGTGTGCGTTTAGTAAAGAAAAGTGAAAAAAAAAAAGGCCACAAAAACCAGTCAAGCTTCCTGCCCAGCTCCTCAGGCCAAGGGCTGTCTTCAGGTGGAAGCCCAGGTGACAGAAATAGTGTCTTCCTGCAGCTGTGACAAGGATGACAGCTAACACACACTCTCCTACCTGCTTTGGCAGCTCCTGCCTCTCTTTATGTAAGTTTCGCAGGTTGGCAGCTGGGCCCTGTGCCAGCTAGGTCAAAGGTATCTGAAGCCACACCTCACCCACAGCCCTAGGGCAGGCTGGGGCGGGTCCTCACTCATGCCCGGCCCCACCCCACTGCCTCATCACCTGGAACCAGGGGACCAGCAGCACTGGCTCCCACACTCACAACACCTGAGCTGAAGGAGCTCAGGGGATGCTGAGTCCTGTGCCTGCCAGGCCCAAGAAGGAAGGTGAGCGCCCTGTGGCAGCCGGACCTCCCAGGCACACCCTCCACTGTAAGTCCTTGGTGGGGGTCTCTGGGCTGGGAGTCAGGAACCTCGAGAGAGATGCCAGGGGCCTGATCTTTGAGGTGAGCAGTAAAGGGTGGGGGTCGGCCATGCAGGGGAGTGGGAAGACCAGTGAGCGAGCAGCGCTGTAGACCAGTTCACTGCTGTTAAGAGCCCCGGGCTGCACAGAGGGACCAGCCCATGCAGCCAGGACCGTGGGGTGTGGAGGAGGCACTGCTCTTCTCCCTGCTTGGAGGTTTCGGATATGGGGATGTATTGGGGCAATTCCTTCCACTGAAAATGACCTACAGTGTGTAGAAGGGTTCTCCCTTTCCCCCAGGGCAGAGAGAGGGGAGAACCAGAACAAGTAACAGGGAGGGTTACCAGTAAAGATCAGGAGTCTTTGCAAAGGAGGCGGCCCAGGAATCTGACTTATCTGCTCATCCTGATAATCCATTGGCCCTGGAGACTAGAGAGCCCGGAGCCCACAGGCAGCCACCTCTTGCGAGGCCATGTTGTTCTGGATGCAAACAGAGCGTGTGGGCTTAGGAGGCAGTAAATTACAGGTACCCAGGCCGGGAGCTGTGAGTCAAGCCCAGGAAGGATGGAAGCTGCCCTCACACCCAGCCAGGTGTGACTCACGCTGTGTCTCTGTTGCAGGGCAGATTGGTGGCACTGGGCCTCTCTCAGGTGGATGCCACTCCACCAGGGGACATTGGGACACGCTGTCTGAGGTTCTCATTCTCTCCCGGGTGAGCTCGTGGGGTGTGGCTGCCCCTCAGGGACCATGCTGGAGTTGCTTCTGCTCAGGTCTGCCGGCTCCATCCTGAGGACCATGTAAGGAACCAGGATCCCACACTCCTCCCGCCTCCTGGCCCCCACGCTGCCTCACAGGGAGAGTTCCTGGGCTTGGCAGGGCACCTGGACCCCCACACTTGGGACTGGGACTTATCACCCTGCTTAGTCACCCTCCTAATCTCATCAGAGAATTTTCTTCTGCTTATTCTCCAAAAGCTCCACGAGAGTCCACCAGTAACAGTGATGAGAGCGGGCTATGTACTAAGCACTTATATGTATCATCTTATCCTCATAACATCCGTAGGATTTAGGCAGAAAACTGAGGCTCAGAGAGGTACAGTGGCTTGTCCATGGTAACACAGCTAGTAAAGTAAGTTGAACCAGACAGGCCAACTCTGGTGAATCTTGGTATGCTACTGTTTCAGGGAGGCGTTTATTTTTATTGAAGTCTAGTTGTTTTACAAAGAAAATATTTATTGAGCACCTACTGCATTCAGTGGCCTGGCTGCTGAGGGCTGAATGGGAAGAAAGTTCAACAGAAATAAATAGGAGTTTTACCCCCATCCACGAGGGGTTCACATGAAAAACAAAGTCTCCCCCTTAACTTATGCATCACACACGGTGACAACTTGAGAAGAATTAGATCCAGTCAACATTTACTGAGCTCCAGCTGTCTGCTAGCCAGTACTCAGGGCCAGAGGACAGAGTTGAATCAGGTGTGACCCCTGCTTTCAAGAAATCTTCCCAGGCTACCATCAAAGCCCAAACCTGAGTGTCTGAGGGCCACAAAGGGTGAGAGGGTGTTTGGGGATAATCCAGAAGGACTTCCTGAAGGAGGAGCTGAAGGAGGCTTTTGGCAGGCTCTGTCTTCCAAAGGCTCCCATCAGCTCCTCTGGCAAGATGAGAAGTGGAAGGAGAGACAGTTAAGAGAAAGGGAGTGTGCAGGCTCTCCCAGACTCCTCTGCCTGCACCCTACACACCTCACAATATATTCACTCATACATGCCCTTCAGGTGTCTCCTTGCTCCCCATGCTGCTGGCCAGGTGCTGAAGAAGTTTGTTGTTTATAGCGCGCGCGCGTGTGTGTGTGTATGAGCTGGGGGTGAGAGCAGACACTGTCCTCATCAAGGGATCCTTTCCAATCTTCCTCCTTGGAGTTGAGGAAAGCAGACAGAGGCAAGTCAGCCTCCGAGGGCCAGTCTCCCAGCATTACTGTCATTCTGCTGCTTAGGAACTTCTGCCTTGGGCTCTGAGCCAGCTTCCGGACTGCTGGTTCCAGGAGGAGGCTAAGATTCCAGAATGACGGGAATACTGTTTTAATCACTTTGGACAGGCTAACTGTGTTCACGACAGGAGTTGCACCTCACCTGCTGAGGTCATTTACCGACCCTTTGTGCCTTCTGGAAAAGCAGCAAGAATCAGAAGGGGCCCAAAGTGCTTTTGAGGAGTCAGAACAGAAGGGATTGCTCCCCCAGATCTCGGGTACTTTTCTTTGAGGAAATCGTTATAAATTCCACCTTGGAAGCCATCTCCTCTGATTTTTATCGACAATTCTAACACGCTTGGTTGTCTAGCTTGATTATCTTATTTCTTAACCCGCTGCCAAAAAATCCTGTGAAGTAGGAGGGAGATGAGTTGCTGGAGGCCAGCACAGCAGCAAGAAGGGACGCTAGTAACGCAGGTGAGAATTGAAAGCTAAAAACAACCACTACCAGGGGCAATGATGTATGAGGCAGTGGCCACAGTGGGACGGGACAAGCGGCCCTCGGCATGATGCACGTTGGCTCCCTTTTGTGTTACAAGCCTGGCCAGTAGAGTCTGTTACTAGTGTGACCCTGAGTGAGTAGGAAAAAGTTATAGGGAGGTCCAGCGAATTCTGTTTCAGATGATGGGCAAGGGGGCCATCCCCCTAAAAGGACTAAATCTTGAAAGTTCTAGCAAGGGAAAGAGCACACTTCACTCTTTTGGAAAATTAGGTTATGGCATTCTCTTAATCAGGCATCCAATATTTGGCAGGCACAGGGCATAGAAGGTTGGATAAGACCCTCTGTGGGCCATCTACAAGGGTCAGGAATCCATCCTCTCGCTGAAGGAGAGAAAGGACAGAACAGGGGAGTGGACACACCCAATGTCCCAGCCACAAGACACTTGCTACTGCAGTGGGTGCCAGATGCTTGGGAAAACGCCCCCACGGGGAATTGCTTCCAACAGCTTCTCCTCCCCATAAACAGAAGGTTCTGATCACGATGAGCACGCTTGGCCCTTGGCTTCCTGAGTCATCTTTTCATTTAGTCTTTGTTTAGCCATTTTAAAGCCAGAACCAGTTTATGCCAATTTTATTAGGTGGCAGAAATGTGGCCCCTACCTTATGATGGTGAGGATTTAAAAACAGGCTTGTTTGTGAGGAAGCAGTGAAGATGGTGGGAGTGTACAACCAAGGATGACCTCAGCTAATTCGGGGGGTGCTGCCCAGCTGGTGATCTCAAAGGCTGATCAGCTGTAAGTCCTGGGTTGAACCTGCGGGCCACCCCGTCTTTTGAGGACGGGGCCAAGACAGAGCATGGATGTTACGTTACACCAAGTTCACAGTCCTCCCCCGGATGCTCACCGCGTGGGACCCTCAGCCTAGTTGTGTGCGTGTCCTCTCGTTTGCCCTATAATTGTCTGAGCCCAGAGTTCAGGGGCCATTAGTAACATGGCAGTCTTCTTTGTCCCAAAGTGGAGGCAGCTTTTACTCAATGACTCAAGAGAGCAGTGGCAATAACCAATGATCCAAAGTTAGCAGGACAAGTTCCACAGTGTTTGGAACCCTGTGTTTCCCTCTGCCTAGCACAGCAGGCCTCACCCCAGAAGCATGCTTTGTCATTTTTCTGTCCTTCTGTTAGCTTCCCCAGAGCAGGTCACCATAGCAACAGAGGGGTTTGCTCCAGCCCTGTGGCCAGGCCTTGTTCACAAAGTTCCCAAGAAGGGGACCAGCCAGCACCCCACTCATCCCTCTTTTCCCCCTCTCCCTCCCTTCATAACCTCCTGATCTTTTTTGCTTTAAAACCTATCCCAGTTTCTTAAACAGATTGCCGCCAGGTGGGCCTGGGTGTGTTCGCAAACTTAGTTTGAACCTGCGGTACCAGCGAGGAACAAGGCAGAATGTGAAAAGCAGGTAACTGAGCCAGCTGCCTAGGAATTGGGCAGGGATGGGACCAGCCCCACCCTGACAGACAGGCGGGACTCCCTGGAGCCAGGGTCCTGCCCTCAGGGCTGCCATGGCCAACTGCGCAGGCTGAACAATGTACAACTCCAGTAGGCTCTGTTTATAGAGCCTATGACTGAAATGTGTCCCTGGAGTTGAGTAAGGCTGCTTGGTCCTGACGTGCATACTGCACTCCATCTGCTCATCCACCCGGGTAGTTGAGGTCTGGCCAGTTGAGTCCTGAGGAGGAATCATGCCGAGGAGCAGTGAGGCTGAGTTGATAATGGAGGCCTAATAACCCCTTGGACTGGGTTGGCCAGAGGAGGAGATTCATTGTCCAGGGCCACCGCACCTAGGAGACAAGGGGGTCTGGGCCAGGGGTGCAAGAAGATGACATGAGTCCTGGGTCTCCCTGGTCCCATGCCTGTTCTCTCCACGGGGGAATGGATACAGGACACACTCACAGGTACCACTGAAGAGGAGAGGTCCTCACTTGGGGACTGCCTAGGACCCTTAAGAGCCGTAGGAATGACCTCCACTCTGAGTTTCTAAGCACAGCCATTCTCAGTACCTAAGGGCTGGTAGGTGTGGGGGGTGGGGGGGTGGGGGCACTTGCCAACCCTAAGAGCCTGCATGCTGCTGGAGTGGTGCTCAGAATCCTCCCATGCCAGACCCCAAGCCTTTCCTTGTCCAGAGGAGGACACTGAGCCCAGAGAGAGGCATGCACTTGCCCAGAGTCACACAGCAAATTACAGCAGAGCAGGACTTGATTTTTCTTTCTACTGAGCCTTTAGAACCTGCAAGGAGAGGCTAGGGTAGCGGTGAGTTTAGCTCCTGCAACTACTGAGGTCTTCCCCCTGGGTATCCCACACCCTGCCCTGAGAGGGAGGCAGAGATGTCAGGGTCACCCCCAGCATTCCTGGCCAGCATGGGGAGCCCAGGTCAGTCTACCATGTTCTGACAATTGTTTCCCCCCTCCACTGCCAGCTTCCTGACTGATGGGCAGGCACGCTCCAAAGAGACCTTAAGCCATGCTCACAAGCTCTCGTCCCCAGAGAAGGCGAAGGATGCCCAGCTGGATTCTCCAGGTGAGCCAGCCAAAGACTGCCAGGCAGGATGGGGTGGGGCAGGGCTTGAACTGAGCACTGAGCTGTGCTGGGTGTGCTTGAGGCAGTTGAGGGGACACTGCAAGTCCAGGCTGACACAAGCCCGGGACACACAGAACAGAACTTTGGGACGGGGAGGGTAGAAATCTCCATGTGCCCAGGGACACCACCACACCTCTTCTCTCATTGCTGCTATCAAGCCAAGGGTGATGGAAGGTAGTGAGAGGAAGATTTCTTCTTCAGGAAGTTTGCAAAGGAAAGAGGTCAAAGATAGGGAGACCTTGGGGCCTCATCCAGGGCAAGGCTGTGGGTACGAGGGATTCTGCCCAGGGTTGCTAAGAGACAGGAGGCCTATATAAGCACGGCCTTGGAGTTTACAAGCGGGTTAACTGGGCTAGGAGGCAGGCAGAGTTCATTTTGAAGGTTTAGGAGGTCACATGCTCTTTTAATGATATTCAGCCCCAGATAATTGCACTTTAAGGGAAGCAGTTATTTACCCTGAAGAGTCATCAGAACAATAATAACATAGTTGTGGTTCCTTATCATTGGCTGTACAACAATACTGTAGCAACGACTGAAGTTAAAAAAAAAAAAGTGGAAGCCATAGGTGCCCGGCACAGAGGGTCGCTGCCTCCCGTGTTCTGTGCTGTTCTTGGGAAGGTACATTGTTGCCATCTGGTCGCTGATCTGCGTCACCTCTCAGGGATGAAGAGCTTCCTCTGAGGTGCTGGTTGTCCTGGTTGTGAAGTTTCCCAGCTGCAGCTCCTCAGAGAAGCCAGGCGGTGACGTTGAAACCACCCCCCAACTCCCTCGGGTGTGTGGGTGGGGGCTGGTGGCGGAGATGGCACGCTGACAGTGGGTGGTAGTGTTTGAGCTGGTTGTATGTTCTTTGATTTGGGTGTGCCTCCTCATGTCCTCCTCGTAACTAGACAGGGATTACGGATTTGGGGAGTGGGTGGCAGCGTTTGAAGTGGGACCAGCCTGGGAGGCCAGTTCCAAGGGTCCCTGGTGGGACAGAAATGAGGGCGGACGTGGGGACAGGAGGAAGGAGGAGATGCTGGGGCCTTTGTCCTGAGGCCCCTTCCTTCAGAGTTTCTTCTGACTTGGTTTCCTGGTCGGCAGACAGGCCTGGCGTGAGGGCAGGAGCAGACTCAGGACCTCTGTAGTCCGTCACAAGCATGCCCTGAGCGGCAGGAGGCAGGGCAAAGGTCACCACGCCCATTGTCCAAGAGGAAGCTGAGGCATAAAGAGGCGTAACTAGGGGAGACACCCGACCGGGGCTCTGGGTGCCCTGCTTCCCAGGCTGCCTGGCTCGTTGGAGACCGAATGCCCGTCCCCTCACCCCGTGGGGTGGGGCTCACCGTTGCTGCCAGACAAGCTGCCCCTCTCCCGGGCTGGGTAACTCGGGGTGGCCTTGGCAGGGATCGGGCCTGAGGTGCTGGGGTGCACTTTCCTAGAGTGGACTCTGCCTCTCTGCCCCTGCTCGGAGATAAAGGGATCTGGACCAAGGAGAGGATCTACTGGTTTCTAAGGAGAAGGGTTAGAAAGGCACCAAGCCAGCCGGGAAGGGGGCCAGCTGGGCCCAGGCAGCCTCTCACTCGCTTCCCTGGGAGCAGGGCGCCTCGCAGGTGTGCTGTGTTGCCGTGACACCTCTGGCGGGTCCCACCCACTTGCTCAGGCTCGCCTTCCTCAGACTGGCTAGTTCCTTCTCCGCAGTGCTCAAAGAGCAGCTGTCAGCACCCAGACGTTGTGCACAGCGAGGACCTGGAGGTCACCAGTCCCAGCTGTGGGTGGTGGCATTGGTGTTCTATGACTCAGGGGCAGGAAGGGAGCCAGTGTGGGCAAGTTCGGTGTCCTCTGGGGCAGTCGGTGTCCAGAGTGTTCCTGAGGAGGAACAATTAGTCTCCAGCCCTGTGGGCCTCACTGCTTAACCTGAATAGGCATCTGGCAGCCCTGCGGCAGTGCAGCACAGAGAGTAGGCAGGTTTCAAACATGGGGGTAGGGAATCCCATGGAGGGTCCCATCAGAGAAGGCTGGCGGCCATGGGCCAGGCCAGGGACAGGGGATAAGGGGGGGGGGACACTGGCTTTAATGGAGGGGTGGGGAATGGTAAGCAAACGTAGGGAGGCAGCAAGGCCCTTCTGGTTTACCAGGACTTCAGGAAGCTGGTGGGGACAGCCAGGCTGGGGCTGGGGCTTCACCTGGACTCTCCAGCCTATGCAGAGTTGGGCTGCTGGGGACACTGAGATGGACAGGCTTCTTTTCTGCCCTCAATGAACTCGCAGTCTGAGTGCAGACAGGCTCTGAGGGAAGGGCACACGGAGGCTGAGGGAAGAAGGCCTGTGACCAGGGAGCTGGGTGATCAGGGTGGGCTTCCTGGAAGAGGAGGGCCTCTAGCTGGCCTCAGACTTTTAAGATCCCTCTGGGCTTAGACCTGAGTGGAGTGGTCTGCCCTTGGGAGTTTAACATCTAGAAAGGGTGATCAGGATAAAAGGACAGTCTGGGAGGGGCCGAGGGGGTTTCTCGGCACCATCGCTGTCAGTAAACACCCAGAGCAGATGCCACAAGGGACCCCAGGCACTGCCCTGGACCGTGCCAAGCAGGCCTCACTGGCTCCCACAAGCCTGGCTAGTGGGTCACACTCTGCCCAGCCCCACCTCAAGCAGCCTCCAGTGTCCTGAGAGTGGAGGGGGAGGCTCTGGGATGTAGCTGCTGTAAGATCCAGCTTCAGCGTGGCCTGAGTGCCCACTCTGTGCCAGCCTGGCACAGGGGCTTATTTCCATAACTCCCCAGCTGCCACAAGAACCCAAGCTCCAGGCTGTATGGGAGGGGCCTTGAAGCTGCTGTTTCACAAGGCACTTTCCATAAAATTGAGGAAAGGTGACTATCTGTATCAAAGCCTGTTGGGGAGGGGCGATTTGGCGATTTATGAAAGGGGTTAAATCCTTCTTCCCTGCACAGCTGCCCCCTTAAAAAGAGCAACTATCACTGAACATTCACCATATGCCAGGCTCTGTGCTAATGGACTGACTTGCATTCCTTCCTTTTATCTTCATAGCAGCAGTAGGGTAGGCACTTTTCTCATTCTCATTCGTTGAAGGAAGCTGAGCCCAGAGAGGTTCAGTGACTTTCTCAGAGTCACACAGCTTGCAAGATGTGGTACTCTTAACTGGCCACACTGCCTCTCTGGGACCTAGATAGCATGTAGGTATAGTCCCCTCTCTTCCAGCCCTGGCCAGCCCCTGCCTTCTAACTGCTGATCTGCAGCCCATCCGGGGAGCTCTTAGAGACTTGCCTTCAGGAATTAGGGTTCACCTGGGTCTCCCTGAGTTCTCAAGAAGCTGGTCCTCAAGCACTTTAAGCTCCCAGATGGCTGTTCTCTCAGGAGACTGCCCCGCTGAGTCAGGCCACAGAGCTGCCAGGATCTGATCTCCACATAAAGGCAGCCTTGTGCTGGGCTTGGAGATGCATTTCCTTCTAGCCCTTTCTGAGTTGAGCGTGAACCCCAACTGGAGTAAGGCAACATCGAGACCACAGGGAAAGGGAGGGGATCCAGGGAGAGTGGCTGCCAGGGATGGGGCTGGAGGAGGTGCTGGCTGGGCCTGGTCCCCACACCCAATTTCCCTGGGAAATTCTCACACCCACTGGGACGCTTTGAGCTGGAGGGCAGGAGGCTGGGAACAGAGCACTGCTTGCTCTCCAGCCCAAGGAGGCACCAGGCCTCCTTCTGTCCCACGCTCCTACCCTTCCAAATGTTTCAAGGGCATGGGTGGTGCTTTGACTAGAAGGAGATAGATATGACTCTTGTCCTCCAAGATCTCACAGCCTGCAGCTAGAGGGCGAGGATAGGCCCTTGGAACACTGGGAGTCAGAGGAACCAATGGCATTTCAGTGTCTGGCAGGAGTGGGGGCCGGGGAAGGTAGGAAGGGCTTCCCAGAAGTCAGCTGAAGTTAGTGTTGGGGGGTCCTCATCTGAGATATGGGAACAGGTGCTAATCCCAGCCCCACCAGTTAAAAAAAAAAAAACAGCAGAGTAGGAAGTTTCCTGCCCAGTTCTATCAGATCCCAGGTGCGCCAAGGGCTGGACAAACTGTTCTGGCCCAGGCAGGCCTTGTCCCTGTCCTTCATCGTGTCCTGAGGCCCCTTAGATACCCCCAGAGTGCCTGGCATGGGGCTGAGCAGGTTCCAAGGACCCTTGTATGAAGAGGGACCCTCCTGGAACTCGTCCTTTCGCAGGGACGACTGGCTGTACTGGGCTTTGCAGCAGGGGCCGTGCCCCAAAGAAGAGCGCTCCGTCACAGGCCTGAGGACAGCTTCGCCCAGAACCAGTGTCTCCCTCCGTCTGCATAATAAGCTTCGTTCTGAAGCTGTTCCCACAGATCACAGAAAGCACCCTAGGCTTCTCCTCTCTGCTCTCCGGTTTTTCCCTTTTCCAGCTAATTGAGAGTGACTTCCTCTGCTGTTTAGATGCCTTTATTCCAGAGCCCCAGAGGACACAGCTCCCTGGCTGCCCAGCCATCCCAGCATAATGGGTGATTGATAAGACGCAGACCAGGGTCAGGCCAAGATCAGCTGGGGCAGTGTAAGAGAGGGTGGGGAGGGGGAGCAGAGCTAACCTCCAAGACTCAGTGCTTCGTGGACAAGGGACCCCTCTGCTCTGCCCACCCCACTGATAGCTAAGACTGGTTCTTCTAAGTCACTGTCCAGAGATTTCCCTTCCAGCAGAGATAAGGGTGAGAGAGGGAACCGCGTAGTAAAGAGCCAGAGGCGGGAATACATGGAGATGAGAAGGGGAAGACGAGGTGCTGCGGCAGGGAGCCTCCTCTGCCTTCCCTGCTGTCGGTTCCTAAGCCTGAGGGTTGGCTCAGCTGCTGGCACCAGAGGCCAAGGCCACTGAGCTGCGCTGGACTCAGGCCGGAAGGTTGCTGAGTGAGGCAAGGTCTTGCCAGGCCCTGCCTGGGGCTCTCAGTGTGCAGGATGGAAGTTCAGCCTGGCATGGCCTACCTGGGCAGACACCTGCTCTGTGGGCCCATCTCTCTCTGTACTTGGACAGTGATGTGTCCTGCATCACCTTCAGGCCATCCTAGGGGGCAGGAGGGAGGGGAAGGTCCGGGCCCCCTAGATACCCAGTCACTCAGTCCAGGCCTTCTGGGACTGGGATGGGACAGAGGCTGACTGGTGCTTCCCCGAAGGCCCCCTGACCTCTGCCCTGGGCCAGGCTTCAGTGCTTAGGCCCCAGGGAGGAGTCATACCTGCCTTCGAGAGCCTCCAGCCTGGTGGGAGAGGCAGCCCCAACCAGGATGCGGCCCGCAGTGAGGCTCAGCTGCTAAAGTCTTTGGTGAGGGGGTAGCACTTGGGACGTGAAGTGCGGGAGAGGTGGGTGTGTGACGGGGAAGGGTGTTCTGGGCAGAGGCACCGGCGGGGGATGGGGAACTGGGCAGAGCTCAGGCTGGCTGTGAGGAAGGCTGTGTGTTGAGGTTGGCAGAGGTTGGGGAGGGCCTTCCTTAGAGGCCATGGTGGGGTCATCACCCTATGGTCAATGAGAGATGTGGGAGGCTTTTCAACAGGTCAAGTCTGGGTTCAGAAAGGTGGCTCCAGGAGCCTCTAGAATGTGGGAAGAGGCAGTGGCCAGGTGTCATGGCTGCCCAAGGTCACCGAGCCTGAGCCGCAGCACAGGACTTGGGCAGGAGGCATGACAGTCCTTTCCCAGAGGAGATGTGTATGTTGGGGTTGGCCTAGAACTCCACCGGGACCCCAGGTGGCCACCTGGAAACGTGTGGAGTTGGGAGTCAGACACTGAGTTGGAATCCCAGCTTTGCCAGCAGTGACTTGGCCTCTGTGAGTCTCAAAGGGTTAGCTAGGTTGTAACATGGACGGTTGTGGGCATAAAACAAGACAGCACACAACCGCCCTTGCACAAGGAGGGGCTCAGCGAATGGGATCTGTGACCATTTTAATTCCCTCACTGGAAGGAGGACAGTTGGGCCTCCAGGAAGACGGGGACCAGGGGTGGGCCTCTTTCCAGCAAAGTGGCCCACTTCTCTTCTGGCTGGTTTGGGGGCTCAGACAGCTGAGCCTGTGCAGAGAATGTGGAGAGGAAGGGCCAGGCAGGAGCCACGCTGCCCGGTCACCTTGGGTCCTCTGGGGGCCAGGGTCTCATCACTGTCACAAGGCGGCTGGGCTTAGAGGAGACTGAACTCACAGACCAACTGACTTTCCTTCCCTTGTCAATTCCTTCTTTCCTCCTTTCAAAAAGATTTGAGTTGACAGAACGCAGAAGGGTAGACACCATGAGATGAGAATCTAACGGCAGGAAAAGGCAGAGTAGTGAGTGGGAGAGAAGAAATCAGGAGGAAGAACTCTGTCCAAAATGTCCCTCCAAATGTTAGAGGCTTTTTTCCTTCAGATGCAGTAAACCCACTTCTAGAAATCTATCCTTTGGAAGGCCTAGAACAGGGCTGAAAGCTGGAAATCATCTGAGTGTCTTTCAGTGGGGAAGTGGTTATGATGTGTAAATCATGATGTGACCAAACAACGGAGTAGTACTTGGCCACATACACACACACACACACACACACCACACGCACACGCAACGAGAGAGACATGTTAATGTCACAAAAGTTAAAGACAGATGATTTGGCGAAGGAGGGCATAGCTTATTGGTAGATTGCATGCCCAGCATGCATGAGGTCCAGGATTCAATCCCCAGTACCTCCATGAAAAAATTAATAAACTAACCTAATTACCACCCCTCAAAAAACAAGAACAAAAAAATAAATAAAGACGGATGATTTGGCTATTGGCTGTTTGATTTGGTACACTACTCCTTTTTTAAAGTGTGAGTCAACATTTAAAAATCAAGTGATTACACATCAACATTCAGATTTCAGGGAACTCTTAGTTTCCATCTCTACTGGGCCCAAATCCTAGACCGCAGAGCCCTCTTTAGATGAGGCGTGCGCTCGCCCACCTCCACGGTCCCCGCCACTCCCCGTTGCCTCCCTGACCCAGAAGCCGGGGTTGGCACAGTGATCGTTGCCCCTGTAGCATAGCTTTCCTTAGTGAAATATTGCACTGTTCCTTGTCTTTGTCAAAACAGAGACACAGAAGGTGGCCCCTGCGAGAGCCATGTGTCTCAAGGCAAGTGAGAGAGAGCCTATTTCTCTGCGGGAATGAAGGCTGTGCCTGTGTGTTTCACATGCAAGTCCTGGGGCACGTCATTCATTCATGACTTACTATTACACATCATTTATCATGATGCTGATACAGAACTACCTGGCCCCTGTGGGCGTTTTGGGTTTGCCACCCTTGATTAATAGAACAGTAACGTGATTCTTTTTTTCTTTTTTAACTTTGGATAAAAAAAATTACAGCAACAAAATAAAACCAAACTCCTTGTGCCTGTATTTGTACAAGCATGACAGACACACACCAAATGCCAACAGTGGCCACCTAGACAGGCAGACTGAGGACGGCCTGTCCCTTTTTATATCATGTCCTTCTAAATCGTTTTCTATTTCTTAGGACAAGTATGTATTGTTTTCTCAGGTTTTTTTGTAAGATGATGACAGCTTAAAAGATGATAGGTTAAAGTTAGAACTCTTGGCTGAGTGAAGATTTGACAACAGACCATAAGACTTACGTCTGATTTTCTTGGCAACGCCGGGGGGACAGGTGACTGCAGTGGAGCCTGAGCCTCTAAAAATGCGCACAGGAGAAATTTCCCTTTTCTGGTCTAAGTGCAAGAGGAATCTGTGCCAGGGGAGGGGCAAGAGCTACCAGGTCCTGGGCAGTGACTCTGCCAGGCTCTGGGCACACTGGCTGGGTAGCCTCACCGAATCCTTGCACCAGTTTGAGGGGAGAGGGGGGCCAGCACTCTTCCTCCCATTTTGAAAGCAGTTTTATTGAGGTGTAATCTATATGCCATCAAATGTACCCATTCTAAGCATAATAACTTTTCACTTTTTCATTGGAAAAAAATCCACTTTCCCAATGATTGTTAGCAAATTTACAGTTGCACAAACATCACTACAGTCCAATTCTAGGTCATTCCCATCACACCCTAAAGATCCTTAGTGCCTGTCTGTGGTCACACCCCATTCCCACCTCCACCCCCAGCCCCAGGCAACCACTAATCTGCTTTAGCTCATTTCTGCCTTTTCTGGACATTTCGTGCAAACAGAATCAGATAATACGTGGTCCTGGGCTTCTGGCTTCTTTCACCAAACATGGTTCTGAGGTTCATCCATGTTGTTGCTTGCATCAGCACTTTGTTCCTTTTTAGAGCCAAACAGTATTCCGTTGTGGGGAGAGCCGCGTGGAGCTTTCAGTCATCAGTTGATGGGTACTTGGCTGTGCCTGCTTTTGGACCACTAGAAATCACACCGCTATGAACGTTCACATACAAGTCTTTGTGGAGACGTGTGTTTTCATTTCTCTTGGCTATCTACCAAAGAGTGGCGTTGCTGGGTTGTACAATAGATTTATGTTTAACTTTTAAAAAAACTGCCAAACTATTTTCCAATATGGTTGCGCCCTTTACCATTCCCCTGAGAAAACAGACTCAGAGATTAAACAGCTCACCCCAAATCTCACATATTAAATGGTAAATCTCTGCTTCCACCTACCACAGTAACCTCAAAGGCTAGGTGGTGCCGGGACAGTGTACCAAGTGTGAGCAGTGGCAGCATGTACCCTTGCCCACTGTGTGACCTTGGGAAAATGGCTGAGCCTCTCGGAACTGCAGCTGCCCCACCTGTAAAGCAGGGCTACCAGATCCGTGTTGTGCAGACTAGATGAGATCCCTATGTGAAGGATTCACGTGGGGCCTAGCACTAGACAGGAATGAGCAAAGAGATGGTTTGATTATTTCCTGAGGCTGGGAAACCTTCCAGGCTTGTGATCAGCGCCTGCTGGTTTTCAGTCTCCTCCAGCCCCTTGGAAGGGTTGCTCTTTTTGATGCTTTGACCTTCTGTCCAGTTGGGTCTGTCCCCAACCCATTCTCAGGAGGCAGAGAAAAGGTGGAAACCCCAAAGGATGTGACAGTCCTGCTCCCCTGAGGCAGCCCCAAATCCACTGCCAACTTCCCAGCCACTGGGGACAAATCCCAGCTGTCACAGAGGCAGGAAAAGGTCTAGGGGCCACGGCATCCCCCAGGCCTCCTCCTCCCCTCCAGCCGTTCCCTCTCGTCCTTGCTGCATCCCTAAAGCCTTGCCCATCCTTCAAGACTGTTGGGACTCCCTCTCCAGGCAGCCTGCAGCTACCTCAGTCCTGAGCTTGTCTGCCAGCCCCCATGGCTCAGTGCCCATGGCATTGTAGGGACCAGAGGTCTGGGAGCTCTGCCCAGGGAAGGACCAGGGGTTCCCTGGGGACAGCGTTGGGCTGGCATGACCCAAGCTGTGGTCTCCTCCACCCTGCAGAGGAGACACTATGGACAACTCGGGCCGATGGGCGGGTCCGCCTGCGCAAAGACCCCAGCTGCTCACAGGTTCCCTACACTGTGCATCAGATGTTCTGCAAGACTCTGGACAAGTACGGAAACCTGAGCGCTATGGCCTACAAGCGCCAGGGCACGTGGGAGCGTATCTCCTATTTCCAGTACTACCTGCTGTCCCGCAAAGCCGCCAAGGGCTTCCTGAAGGTGAGGAGCCCCTTCAAGGTGCGGCCTCTGCTCTCCCGAGTTCTGCCTCCCAGCTCTGGGCCCTCACAGGCCTCCTGATGACCCACTGGGCAAGCCCTCAGAAAAGATAATGAAGAACCATCTCATTTACTGAGCTAATGATACGTTCTGGCGTGGTGCTGAGGGTTTACATTCACTGGGCCCTTGCCATGTGCCAGGACTTGCTACAAGCTTTTCCTCTGTCATCCTGTCCAACGTGGGCTGGGAAGCCTGGTGCACTGGGCTGAGGGCCAGACTCCCCAGGAAGGCCCTGGGAGGGTAGCAGGGGCTGTTGAAGGTCTGATCCCCAGGGCACTGTCTGACAAGGGACCTTGGGTGGGTGGTCTCTGAGGTGGGCTGGCAGGGTCCCCCATGGTCTAGAAGAGGGGCTTGGTGAGAACCAGAGGCCCCTTCCCTGCCGGCTGACCGGCCTGTCTCCCTTTGGTCTGGAGCTCGGACTGGAGCAGGCCCACGGCGTGGCCATCCTCGGCTTCAACTCCCCGGAGTGGTTCTTCTCGGCAGTGGGCACAGTGTTCGCAGGGTGAGTGGCTGAGGGTGGGGCTGAGTCTCCAGGGGGTTGGAGGTGGGCAGAGAGTGGAGAGAGGGTCGTTATCTTTTTTGAGAGGCCTCCACCTCTTCCCCAGCACCCCACCTCTTCCAGACCCTCCTTTGGTCCTTCCCTGCCTGGGGTGGCTGTGCTGAGCAGGTGTGGGAGCTCTGCCTGCCCAGGTCACAGGAGCTCTCTGGGTCCAGGCGCTTTGGGTGTGTCAGGGAGGGGGCTGGGCCGAGGGGGTGGCCGCTGCACCTGCCCACACACGAATCCTCCCGGGTCTCCTGTAGTGGCATCGTCACTGGCATCTATACCACCAGCTCCCCCAAGGCCTGCCAGTACATCGCCTATGACTCTCGAGCCAACATCATCGTGGTCGACACACAGAAGCAGCTGGAAAAGATCCTCAAGGTTTGGGGGAAAGAGGCAGCGAGCATAGGGGTCAGGCTGGGCGTCCTCACAGGTCTCCAGCTTACAGAGGACTTTTCCACCCTCCCTGCCAGAGTCCCCCATCACCCTCAACAGCAACCCTTCCCCACCACACACACATAGATCAAGCAGGGCAGTGACCACCAACCCATTTGCCAGGTCTGAAAACTGAGGCCCAGAAAATCCAAGGGACATTCCCCACATCCCCCAGGAAGTAGAGCTTTAAAAAGCCCCCCAACAGATTTTGCCCTGTCCCTCAGGGAGACAACCCCCTCTGCATATAGATGGTTGATCTGATCCAAATGCCCTCCCCCAGCCTCATTTTGCCACTGAAGAAACTGAGGCCCAGACCTACTGACTCAGAAATGTCCACCCTAGGTAATTACTTTAAATTTGTGTGAGGAAACTTTCCAGGCAAACAAAAATAGAAGAGTAGAGTGGACCCTCGTATGATCATCCAGATTCAATAATCATCCATGTTTTTTCATCACACTCATTTTGTCAGTTTACCTTTTTTTACACTTGAAGGCAAATCTCTGACATCACATCATTTCCTCCCCTGAATATTTCAATGTGCACCTCTAAAACGTGACATTTTTCTTTTAACAGTCACAGTAACTTTGTCACCTCTAACACAAGTCAAATAATTCTCTGATAGCTGCAGTGTCTTTTTACAGTTGGTTCGTTTGAATCAGGATCTAAACCAGGCCCATGTGTTGCAATTCGTGGTGTCTCTTAAGAGTCTTTTAATTCAAAACAAAGCCCCCACATTTTGTTTCCCATGCCATAGGCCAGTGTGGTCCCAGATCAGCAGCCTTACCTGGGTACTTAGTTGCAGAACCCACCCAGACCTCCGATTCCAAAACTCAGGGTGTGGGGTGCAGCACTCTGTTTAACAGGCCTCCTGGTGATTCTAAGCGAGGCTCAAGTATGAGAACCCCTGCCATCAGCATGCTGCCGAAGCTGGGTCAGCTTGTTTCTGTATCCTCTGCACCTTCTTATTAGGTCTCGAGGCTTGATACGTTTCAGATTAAACACTGACTGGCAAGAATGCCCCATAGGTGGCGCTGTGTGCTTCACATTGCACGGCCTGAAGAGGAGCATGTTGGGTGGGACCTCTCGTGGTGATGCAGAGCTTGTCAGTGGATTCCTGTGGCAGCCACCGGCTCGTCCACTGCAGTTTTCCCCATCAACCTTTCTCTACTGATGGTCTGTACCTGAATTAATTATTTCATGAGCCGTGGCAAAATGTTGGTTTTCTAATTCATCAGCTGGAATTCTTCTCCAGAAGAAGGATTTTCTCTCATCACCTGGGGCTCTTTGCTACCTGAAGCATCCTATTTATCCAGAGTCTATGTTGGTGAATGTTCCACGCATATTTGAAAGAATGTTCATTCTGCAGTTGTTGGGGAGAATCTTCTACAAATGTTAATAATGCCAACTTGATTGATGGTGTTCTAATGTTTGTCATCCATATCCCTGTTGATTTTCTGTCTGCTTATTCTAACAAATCCTGAGAAAGGGAGTGTTGAAATCTCTGATTATTATTCTGGATTTATCTACTTCTCATTTCATATCAACCAGTTTTTGCTTCGTGTGTATTGAAGCTCTGTTTTATATATATACGTATTTAGATTGTTGGATCTCTGGATGAATTAAGCCCTTTATCATTAAGAAATGTCCCTCTTTATCTCTGGTCACAGTTCTTGTTCCAAAGCAACTTTGTATTAAGTTGATATAGCCACTCCAGGTTTCTAACGATCAGTGTTTGTATGGTCCACACTTCTGCATTGTTTCACTTCTACCCTGTGTCCTTGTATTTAAAGCAAGTCTTTTATAAACAGCATATAGTTGGGTCTTGCCTTTTATCCAGTCTGACAAAATTGTCTATAAAACTACCAGTTGGCTGTTTCCTGTTTGTCCCATCCATTCTTTGATCCTTTTCTCCTCTTTCCTGGCTTCTTTTGGATTGAGTTTTGTGTTTTTATTTTGTTCTGCTTTTGAGTTTTCCATTCTATCCACAGGCTTATTAGTTCTCTCGTGCTTGCCCTGTGGCTTACAATACGCGTCTTTAACTCACCACAGTCTACTTTCGAATAACATTAAAATGTAGTATTGTACTAATTCACATATAAATGTAGAAATCTTCCAACAGTGTACTTCCATCCGCCTCCCAGCCTTTGTGCTGTCATTCATACTGAAACTAATTTCTGTGTGAGTTATAACCCCTGGGATGCACTATTTTAAACAGTCAGGTATCATTCAAAGAAACTGTAAAAGAAGGAAAAGATGTCTTTTATATTTACCCACATATTTGCCTTCATCTATTTACATAGATCCCAAGTTTTCATCTGGTTCATCTTCTGCCTTAAGCATTTTCTTCAAGGGGGAGGTGCATAGCTCAGTGGTAGAGCACATGCCTCGCAAGCATGAGGCCCTGGGTTCAATCCCCAGTACCTCCATTAAAAACAAACAAACAAAACAAAAAAACCCCCAAATATAAGAATTTTCTTCAACATGTCTTGCAATACAAAGCAGGAGGGCAAGGCAATCTGTCAGCTTCTCTTTGCCTGAAAACATGTTCATTTTTACCTTCATGTTTCAAAAGGTATTTTCATTTGGTTTAGAATTCTGGGTTGACAGGGTTTCTTTTTTTTTTTTTTTTTCTTTCAGTCCTTTAAAGATTCCATCCCTATGTTTTCTACTTTGCCTTGTCTCTGAGAAGAAGTCTATAATTTCTTATCTTTTCCTCCCCACGTGCTGTATCTCATCTCTCTGGCTGCTTTCAAGATTTTTTTCTTTTATCACTGGTGTTCAGCTGTTTGATTCTGCTGTGTCTTGGTGTGGTTTTTCTTTATGAATATCCTGCTTCGGGTTCATTGAGAGTCTTGAATTTGTGGATTTATAGTTTTAATCAAACTTAGAACTGTCTCAGACTTTTTTCCAGTTAAAAAGAAATGTCCTGGGATGCAAATTACATGTATGTTAGACTTCTTAGTTTTCTCCTGCCAGTTAATTTTTTCCCAGTTTTTACTTTATCTCTCTCTCTCTCTCTCAATTTCATTTTGAGACGTGTTTAATTAAGCCTATTCGGGGCAAGTTTAGAGAGCCTTTCCTTTATGCCTAATTTAGCCCCACAACTACCCTGACTCTTCTGGGTCCTCTGCTTAATGCCTCCTCAGGTCCCTCCACTCTGGCTAATGGAAGCACAAACAGTTCTGGTCACGCACACGCTCTTCTGGCCCCAGTCATTGTTCTTCTGCTGGCTTCATGGGGTTCCCCCTGTACCTGTGCAGACTGGTATTCGGCCAAAGAGATTTCTAGAACCCTTTCTGTGCATAGTTCTGTCCTATCTGGTGTTCTGCCCCACAAACTCTCAATACCCCAGCTTTCCTGAACTCTGACCTCTATCCCCTCAACTTAGTGAGACACCTGAGTCCTGGTTTCCCTCTGCCCCTCCCTTGCCTCTCTTCTCCACAGGGGCACAGCCCTCTGTTGTGGGGCTAGATCATAGTCCATTCAGCCAGGCCCCAGGTTGTCTGGTTTTCCTTTAATAATAGAGAGTCATCCCCTATCCCCTGCTTATCCCACCTTTGCTGCTACAAAGTTCTCATGATGGGAAACCATGCATGAAGAGTGGCAAGTGTCCTGCTGAGTCAAAGGTCAGAGCTCGGGACCAGCAACCTTTGCCACAAGGTGTTTGCCCAGCCAACTAATACCTGGAGGTGGGGCTCTTCTCAAGGGGTGACTTTTTTTAATGAGACCCCTGTATTTTTCCCACCAATACAGATCTGGAAAAACCTGCCACATCTGAAGGCAGTAGTGACATATCGAGAACCTCCTTCCAAGAAGATGCCCAATGTGTACACGGTATGGGTGCAGAGCCTGGGGACAGGTGGGGCCTGTGGGGGCCTGCCCAGCTCACCTGGACTGCCCATGCCCTCCCACCTGGCCACAGATGGAGGAGGTCATGGAACTGGGGAATGAGGTGCCTGAGGAGGCCCTGGACAGCATCATCGAGGCCCAGGAGCCTAACCAGTGCTGCGTGCTGATCTACACATCGGGCACCACCGGGACCCCCAAGGGTGTGATGCTGAGTCAAGACAATGTAGGACAGATACCCAGATAGGTGGGGGGGGTGGGCTGAGGGTGGACCTGGGGAATGGCCCTGCCCCAACAGTCCTAGGAAGGCTCTGTCAGCCCCCCAGCTCAGGACTCTGGGACAAGTAGGACTGCCCTTCAGTCTATGGTCCGGACTGAGCCCAGCAAAGTGGAGGGGGACAGGCGGGGAAGACCTGTCCCACGGGGGTTCCTGTAGATTCCCAGGAGGGTGAGCAACCTCGAGGGTATTCAAAGAACACTGCAAAGAAGTAGCCCAAGCCCCGGGTGGCCACAGCGGTGAGCACTCCCAGGGCCGGCCTGTAGCGCTGCTGGGGCTCCTCTGCCTGCCCTCCAGATCACGTGGACAGCACATCACAGCAGCCAGGCTGGTGGCATCAGACCCTCAGAGGTCCAGCAGGAAGTGGTGGTCAGCTACCTGGCCCTCAGCCACATTGCCGCCCAGTTCTATGACTTGTGGACGGGCCTCCAGTGGGGGGTCCAGGTCTGCTTTGCCGAACCTGATGCCCTGAAGGTCAGTCTGCCTCTCTGCCCTTGTCTGTGTCCGAGCAGGTGTGCACGGGCCTGCCCAAGTGTGTGTTCGTGTCTGTGGGCCCCAGGTGTCCATTTGGGAATACATTGATTCCCCGTGCAGTTAGCAGTCAGAATTCTTTCAGCTTCTTTGAGCCCAGCCTGATTCAGATGACCAAACAAGAAAGGAAAGGAAAATTAAGTCAGTGGTTCCATGGGTCCACAGTCCATCAAGGACGGGCCATACTCAGAGAAAGATCACGAGATGGTCACCGATGGCCGCAGCCCCGCCCTGCATCCCTGTCTCATAAACTACACCTGTTCTTTGGATCCTTCTTTTAAGTATGAGGAGAGCATCCCCAGAAGCCCCCTAGCAGACCTCCCCCTCCCCCACATTGGCCTGACTGGTGTCCCATGTCCATTCCTCAACCAGTCACTGTGCAGGGGAATGAGATGACCGTGTTTGAGTTAGACTGATAAAGAGTCCCTGCCCCCAGGACTGGGAGGGGACAGAGGTACTTCTGGAGCCTCTGGCCACCCTGGTACCTGAGCAACATCAGATTCCATTAGCAAAGAAGAGAAGGGAAGTGATGGCTGTTGAGGTGCTGCCAACAGCGTGTGACAAGAGTTGCATGCACATGTGTGTGTGCCCCTGAGCGAGCATCTGTGTGCGGGATGCCTGCCGCGTGTGCACGCTGATTCTGGTGACAGGGGCCTCCTGGCCCCCGGCTGGAGCTGAACCACAGGCCTGTCTCTCACTGGTGGCGAGCAGGGGAGCCTGCTGGACACACTGCGGGAGGTGGAGCCCACGACCCACCTCGGGGTGCCTCGGATATGGGAGAAGATCATGGAGCGTATCCAGGAGGTGGCGGCACAGTCTGGCTTCATCCGGCGCAAGATGCTGCTGTGGGCCATGTCGGTGACCTTGGAGCAGAACCTCACCTGCCCGAACAGGTACAGGGGGCGGGGTGGGGGAGGGAGCGGGCCTGGGTTATAACCCAGGACACAACCTAGGGTCTGATAGGCCAGGCTTGTCTGGGCCCCACAGGCCTGGCAGTTCTGGGGACCCCTGTGCGGAGGCCCCATCAGTGGCTGGCCTGAGCCCCTGTGTTCTTCCCAGACCCCACAGGAGAAAGTCACCCATCTTTGGGTTCTGACTGCAAGGACTGACTTGCTCCCTCTGAGGTGGCTTTCGCCTCCCTGGGAGTGGCTCCTGACAGTCTCTTGAGGGGTCTCCTGACCTCGGTACGTGGCTAGAGAAGGGGCCGCAGTGGCCAGGGCTTTTCTAGCCTTCCCAGCATCCCAAGGGAGCACTCACCGCTCCCCCAAAGCCTTTTGATTGCTGTGGGAGGGTCAATGGCACGAGTCCGACCTGTTCCCATGTAGAAATATTTTCCAGTACTAGTGTGTCTGTGAAACTGAATCACGTGTCATGAGATGTGTACCTACGCCTTCATTTGCACAGACATGAATGACCCATTCATGGGCTTCTAATGGGCTCAGATACATGCATGTCCATGTGTGTATACTTCAAGTCTCTGCTCGTGTGTATTATGGTGTATGCAGACTTGCGTGCACTGGTGGTGTTGTCCAGGTACCTGTACACAGCTGCATCTGTCTGACTTCCTGGCTCAAGACATTATTGCACACAACAGCATGTACACGCCTACACATGGGTGCATGTTCATAGGGCTGATATTAAAAATATTTAGCAACGGATTCAGCATGGGCGCTAACCAATCAGAACAAATAACTGGAATAGCCATTCAGGGTAGGCACTGAACACCCTCCCTGTTAATGAGAGTGTGTGTGTGTGGTCTTCTGTGAGCCATTCTGCCTCTCCCACCAGCGATCTGAAGCCCTTCATAACACGACTGGCGGATTACCTGGTGCTCTCCAAGGTCCGCCAGGCCCTGGGCTTTGCCAATTGTCAGAAGTACTTCTACGGAGGCGCGCCCATGACCACAGAAGCACAGCATTTCTTCCTGGGCCTCAACATCCGCCTGCTTCCGGCGTACGGCCTCAGCGAGACCTCAGGCCCCCACTTCATATGCAGCACCTACAACTACCAGCTCTACAGGTGTGCCCCCGTCTCAGTGCCCACCTGCTGATTAGGTCCCTGAGCCTGGGCCACTGGACCATGGATCCCTGAGTACCACCAGTTCAATCTTGGGCCAAGTCCCTTGGCCGGGCCCGATTCTCATGGGTGTGGTCTCTGCTACAGTGTCACATGGGTCTGTGGTTGCAAACAGCCTTGATGCCCAGGGACCACCTCCCCACCCCAGCACCGAGCAGGGTTCTGATGGAGGAATTTCCTTTTGTCTCCTCCCTCCAGTAGGGGGAGCATGTTGGAGAGTGTCCCTCCATTGCTGATAGCCTGGGCTCCATTTTGGATGAAAGTTGGGGGTATTGGGCCAGTCCTCTGGTGGGTGGGGAGGGCATTCAGTTCTGGGGGGTGAGTTGAGGGATGACCTGCTGTGCTTAAACACTTCCCCTCCTTGCCTGCCTATCACAGTGCTTGAAGTTGTCCCATTAGGACTTCGCCCATTCATTCATTCATTCACTCATTCATTCATTCACCTAAAAACCTTTAACTGGCCCTCCCTCTCAGCTCTGAGTACCCTATTGAAATAGAAAAACCCTGGGAGGGGACATTCCAGCCATCAGTGAAGACTGAGAGGTTGGGGACCCCAAGGCTCCCTGTGGGGGCTGATCCAGGTCTTGGAGGAACCTGCTCCCTCTGACCACACCTCCCGGCCCCTCTACCCCCAGTGCCGGCAAGTTGGTGCCAGGCTGCCGGGTGAAGCTGGTGAATGAGGACTCAGAGGGCATCGGAGAGATCTGCCTGTGGGGCCGCACCATCTTCATGGGCTACCTGAACATGGAGGACAAGACGCGTGAGGCCATTGACTCTGATGGCTGGCTGCACACGGGCGACATGGGCCGCGTGGATGCCAACAGCTTCCTCTACATCACCGGGCGTCTCAAAGGTGAGCCCCACCAGCTGGGTTCAAGGCTATGGTGAGACGTGGGAGGAATTATACTGCCACCACTATTTATACCCACTGCAAGTGTTGAGCCCTTATTAAGGGCCACGCACCTTGAATGACATCATTTTGCTTGCTATTGTTTCCCATGAGGAAGATACTCTTACCCCGACTTACTGATGAGGACACCCAGAGAGTTCAGTAACTCGCCCAAGGTCACCCAGCTAGTAAATGATGGAACTGGGATTCAAACTCCCTAGAAAAACAAGGCAAGTCTTTCCAGAAAATTCAAGGACATATATATGTACTTTTATACGCCAACGTGGATATGATGTGGAATATGATGTCCACAGATTGGACATAAAATTTAAAATGAAACATGATGCTTCAAAGAAATTTCCCACGAACAACTTGGCTCTCCCAAGGGAGTAAGCTGTGGACACCTCTGTGGAAGAGGAGCTTTGCTGTCTTTGCTTGAGTGGACATAATGCCCACAGCATCCATGTGGGAATCCCACACCCCAGTTTCCCAGGGGAAACTGAAGCTCAGTGAGTGAGTAAAGAACTTTCTGGAAATCATGCAGGCAGGTGTGTGACAGAGCCTGGATTCCACTGGCCACAAAGGGTCAGCTCTCCAGGCAGAGTCTGGGCATACTTGGCCTGAGCACCCAGACTAAAGTCTGTGCTGGGGGGCTGTCCATGCCTCCCCAGAACTGATCATCACGACCGGCGGGGAGAACGTGCCCCCTGTGCCCATTGAGGATGCTGTGAAGATGGAGCTGCCCATCATCAGCTTTGCCATGCTGATTGGGGACCAGAGGAAGTTCCTGTCCATGCTGCTCACCTTGAAGGTGTGTCTAGGGGGTCTCGCGCTCGGGAAGAACAGCCGGTGGGTGGTCTGTGGGTCTGGCCCCAGCAGAAGCCATGTTCAGGCAGGACACATCTGGCTCTCATGACTGTTCTGAAATTACTAGTCAGTGCTGCCGGCACTAAGGGGTAGCTGCAGCACATGGAAATTCCTTCTGCGCCCAGTGGTACAATTACTGATATGCTGCGGTGCTGATCTGTTGTGTGTTCCAGCACAGTCCAGGTTACAAAGCGCTGCCCACCTCAGTCCCCTCGGCAGATACTCAGTCTGGTATCTGATACCAAGACAGTAGACGGGGCTGCAGTTATGGTCCCTGTTTAAATTATGATTTCATTGGCTGAACTCATCTAACTCTCAGGCTGTTGTTCCTTCCACCACACCACGGGGCTTAATACAGTTGGAGGAACGCCCTGCTTATTCTAGAATCATCTCTTTGAAAAAGAGCTCACAGTGATCCACATCCTTAGTGATCAGCAGTAAAACCTCCTCCAAGACCAGGGTGCAGGTCTTGGTGCTGATCTGTCGCTGGCTTTTCAGTGCACTCTGGATCCAGACACCTCTGACCCAACCGACAACCTGACGGAACAAGCTGTGGAGTTCTGCCAGAGGGTGGGCAGCAGAGCTACCACAGTCTCCGAGATCGTGGACAAGAAGGATGAGGCCGTGTATCAGGCCATCGAAGAGGGGATCCAGAGAGTCAACATGAAGGCAGCAGCCCAACCCTACCACATCCAGAAGTGGACCATTCTCAAGAGGGACTTCTCCATCTCCGGTGAAGAGTTGGGTAGGTGCTTTCTTTCCACTCTTGCAGGAGCTGTGCGGGAGGGCAGAGGCCATGGCAGAGCCTGGGGAGTGCTCATTAGGAAGAAGCCACGGCGAGAAGGGCCCTGATGGATGACACCCACCTCCTTCCTGTGGGAGGACATTGATTGCTCCCTGCCTGGGCTTAAGGTTGGGTAGAGCCTGTTCAATGTACAAGGTATATGCTGGAACTCATTAATTTGAATATATAACATTTAACTTTGCTTTGACTAAGGATCTGTTTTCCCTTGAAATCACAATGGGATTGCCAGACACACACCAAGGCCCTGTTAGTGTTTGGGCTGGAGTCACCTGGCTCTAGGGAGTGAGATCACCATAATCTTCTGTAAAGTCAGCTCATGCAACAGGTAAAGGGATGAAGCCCTTCTGGACCATGGTCCACAGAACCAGAAGAGGCATGGCCTCAGTTGGATGGATGCAGTTGCTCTCGGCTGTAGCATCTTGAGGTGTTCATGGCACAGGGGGAGGTGGAAATGGCTTCTTCATTTCAATGAGACTCCCTCCAACCCATCAAGGCTGAACCCAGGTGCAAGTGTCCATAGTAATGCTGAGATGCAGCCTGAAACACTGAGCCTGTCTGGTTGTCTGGTGCTAACAGACTGAATGCAAGGTCATCCAGTTAGAAGATGTCCTCTCTAAGCACTTTATATAAATGACTTTGATTTTGAAGTTTCCAATTACACAGTCAAGTGTGAGTTAGCACCAAATAGTTTACACTACCCAAATCAGAGCCCTTTCAACCTGGCATTAGACAAGGGAACTGAGGGCAGGAAGTGACTTGTGGAAACCTCTCATAAAGACCATGGCAGAGCCCTCCTGCCCAGCCAGGGCTTTCCCCTGACCCATCGCAGGCAATCAAAGCGTAACATCCAACGTCGTATGAACTTTCACTGAAATGCAGAGATGATTTGCCTATTAATTAGCCTTGTGTAACAAATTACCCCGCTTCCTGTTTCTGTGGGTCACTTAGAACAACCCCGGTACAGTGCGGGAAGGGGCTGCACAGAGGGTGTGGCTACCAGGAGTAGGGATTGCTGTGGGCCACGCTGGAGGCTGGCTCCTCCTTGGTCGGGCTCAATTCCAGTTACACGACTCACTGAGTCTCCATCTCTACCACATACCTTCTCAGGCATCTCAGAGTCCGGGCCTCACTCACTTCTTCCAATTTCTCTTTTAGGTCCCACAATGAAGCTGAAACGGCACAAAGTCCTGGAGAAGTACAAAGATCTCATCGATTCCCTTTATCAAGAGCAAAACAAGTAATCAGGGGTTGTCCTTCCCCGGTTTCTCCTGAAGATGGCAGGCTGAGTGCTTTCCTGACCTCCAGGTCCTCTTCAGTCTGGGTGCGCGGACCCCTGGCCAAGTCTGTTAGGTCTTGGGGTCAGGTGCGGTCCTGGCACCTATGTTTGCCAGGTTTTATGCCAACAATAGCTGAGAAGCTTCACGTGTGCATAGTTTTAAAAGTACTCCTTTCTGTTCAGGTGACAAATGAGATCAGCTCTCCTTCCAGAACTAAAGGGCTGACAAGTTTTGGCTTCAGTTCCTGGTAGATTTAATAGGCTGCTTGCTCACTTAGCAGTCCAGCCAGCAGCAGGCCGAGCGCTGGGGGAGGAAGGGGAAGGTGGCTTGTAGAACCAGTGCGTGCTGCCGGGCAGGCTCTCTGTTGTAACTCACCTAAAGGCCCGACTTGCTTGGGAATTGTGCTGGACGTGGCCGACCATCTCATCCCATCGCCAGGCGCTCTGCCGTGCACACACCAGCTGCCTTTGATGCTTAATAAACTGTGGCTGCCTTCCTGATTGTATTTAATGTGTGACTTGAAACTAAACTTTCTAACAGAACTGTTAACAAGTACTTCATTTGTCAATCGAGCAGCAGACCAGTCCAGAGCTGTGGGTATTTAACCCACAGGATGCTGTGTACTATGCATGAGTGAACTTCAGGAGGGAGCCAAGTGGAACATTCTAGTGAAAGCAGCCAACTTGTGCTAATCCATCACCACACCACCCCTCCCACTCTGAATACTTTAAGCAGCCATTCTTAGGAGTAAGCTGAGCCAAAATGACCAGAGGCATCTAAATGGGAAACAGGTAGAGAATGCGTTCGTCTCCATCAGTCTGGGAATTCTTTATTAGGGTAAACCCAAGAAATACTGATAATTAGCACAATCCAATAAAACAGAAGCAGCCATTTGAACAAAGTAAAATACATATAAGATTGTAAGTCTGGTTACAAGACTGAAAAAGGACCCAGACAGGAATGTTTGTTGTTGTTAAGCCCTTGTGACCAGGGTACGCTATGCAGAGTCACAGGTTTGCGGTGTTACACAAGGGTCAGGGAGGCCAAGAGTCACCTTTGGTGTTGGGCCAAAGGGTTCATGAAAATAGTGCCTTAGTGTCTGGAGATTAAAGAAAAGACATGCCAGGAGGAGGGAATGGAGGAGGGATGGAGAGGAGATGCCCAAAGGTCAAAAGCTGAGCCAAGCCCCGGTGTGGCAGGATTTTGTGAATCAACTCAGGCTGAATCTGCATCTCATTTCTTACTGGTGCTGAGGCAGAGGGGAGTGACTTGGTGCTTTGGGGAAGGAGTAGCTACTGAAATATAAGATTAATAGCCAGCATCCCAGGTTCCTTAAATGCAGCCAAAATTTATGTGGTCAGGCCTTGTAGCAGTTATCAGCTGGGGTGTGGTCCATTTCCGGACATGCTGCGGCAGTGATCGCACACAGCAGTCAGCTCCCACGTCCAACTCTGTGTCCACACAGGGCTCGAGGGCTGTGTTACACATGATGCTTGATGTACGTCCAGTGAAAAGGAACTACCACCGCTTCACTTCATTAAAAGCTCTCGCCAAGAATAGTAAATCTCAAGAAAATAATTGAACACCCAATGCATTTGTGTCTTAGTACCCAATATATTGTCCATATCTTATTAACAAAAATTATATCTCTCAGTATATATTCCTCAATTGGGAGTCTTTATTCATACTCAGTAATTCATGTAAAGGACAAATCAGTCTTTACCTTCCATATCACTAAGAAATACACCACATTAACTGTTTTTAATGTAAACTTTCCCAGGAAAGTTGTCTTGTGCCAGTTTAGTTTTATAAGAATATCATCTTGTGCTATCATGTTAATATTCTGTTTTATTTCCATTATATTTTTCATAAACCAAGGGAATCAAGGTTTTTCTTTAAAAAGTTAGATGTTTTCTCTTATTAACTCTGTATCATGATATTTACAGTTGAAGAAAAACTGTTTTAACTGAAGTGTAAAATGGTTAACAGTGGCAAATGATACAGTCCATTTAGAGTTTACAAAAAAAATGTATACCAGATAGATATTTAATAAATAAGCACTTGGAAAAAGTCCTTTGAAAGCAGGTCTTCTAGCGACATTACTTGCATCCTTTGCACAGATTTTGTTAAGAAAAGGCCATGTCTAAAAACGTATTCTGTCAAGAAACAAGCAACAAATACATACATAATGGGAGGTATCCTAATACAGGCTGATGAGGCGTCCGTTAAAGCTACTGATGCGAATACCGTTTGTAGAAGCCTTAATCTAAATCTTTTACTCGGCGACAGATTTCTTCTGTGAAGTCTGAACATTTTGCATTGCCTCCCAAATCTTTAGTTAAGCTCTAAGAAAAAGAAAAAGCAAAGATAAAAAGGTACCCACGTGTTAAACCCAAGCAAGCAAGGATGTTTTTATTTAAAGACCTCAGTGTGATACCAGCTGAGCGAGTTACCTGCCTGTTCTTTTATTTAGTTTCTCCTTTCAAAGTGAGACCCACCCCACCACCATCTACCCACCCCAGGAGAACTTGGAGAAGCCAGTTTGATAGTGTACCCAAAGACACTCGGAAAGAGCAAGATGCTCTCGCTACGAAGGGACGCGGGCGGGGGGGAAGGGGGCTTTCTAAAACCTCCCCTCCGTTCATACAACAGACCTTAAGGAAACATTTGATTATGGACATTTAGATGACAGCAAATCTAAACAAGAGGGTTCATAAATCCCTTGCGGAATTTTTAAAGTTTAAAAAACTTAAGATTTTGACCTATTTTGGAAGCTGGGAAACAAATACTAAGGAATTATTTAAATCACTAATACTTTTTTCTTTTTTTTAAATTTTAGTATATTCATATCAATTTTCTTTTTTAATTGAAGTATAATCAGTTTACAATGTTGTATCAATTTCTGGTGTACAGCATAATAGTTCAGTCATACGTACACATACATATATTCCTTTTCATATTCTTTTTCACTATAGGTTACTACAAGATATTGAATATAGTTCCCTGTGCTATACAGTATCAACTTGTTGGTTTATCTATTTTATATATAATAGTATCTGCAAATCTGGAACTCCCGATTTATCCCTTCCCACCCACTTCCCCCTGGGTAACCGTAAGTTTGTTTTCTATGTGAGTCTGTTTCTGTTTTGTAAATAAGTTCATTTTGTGGGTTTTTTTTTTTAGTTATTCCACATCTAAGTTATATCATATGGTA